TATTTCAAAAGTTGAGTTCTTCAACAGAATTGAATAAAATGAGACTGTTTATCCTAAACGCACTAACCTATTTGACTTCAAATATTTTATGAAAAAGGAAAACCAGAATGAAGTAAAAAAACATTGGTGAAAAAAAAAAGTTGCAAAAAAAAGTTCGAGTTCACAGCGATTCGAACCATGAACCTTCAGACTGAGAGTCGACAGTGCTAACCAGTAGGCCATTTGGGTGTATGAATTTACTGCGTACAAGAGATTGACAACGAGAAAGCTTCAGTTCTTGCGTTGGAGCACAGTATGAGATATATGACGTATTATGGTGGGCGTGGTTTGTGCTGCAATAGTTTATATTTAGTAAAATCGCGGCCCGGAATGAAGGTACACAACGGGCCGGGCGTATTTCCCAAAGCAGACCAATTTACCTGGCGAAAAGTGTGCATTGCAGGCGTTTTTCTTTCTCAAATTTCAAGTTCAACTGCTTAATATATTATGCTATGTTAGGATATTCACCACCAAAAATATCGAGACTTTTTTTTTCAATTCATTCACTCGAAGACCGAGTCGAAGACTCTTCAAATCGCGACTGTTCCACAGATTAGATACTTTTCTGACGAAGCAAGTTTGGGAAAGAATGATATAAAAACCATCAGATTTGTTTACAGTTTTGGATGTGCATGCATTCAAATGTTACATTTCCGTTCTGTTCCTGGAAATTTTTTCGCTGTCATAATAACAAAATCACAGCGGCTTACGGAATGTTGGCTTGTTATGCACATACATTAAATTTTCACAATGGAAATAGTTATTTTTGTATCTAGAGCGCGAAATGCTACTTTGGTGATCGAGATCTGATTTTTTTAAGGAGGCGTAGCCGAGTTAAAAAAATAGTCGAGATGACCAAATTATCTCGCGGTCGAGTTGCAAACAATATTTTTTCTACAAACGTCAAAAAATAAAAATGTAGTTCTTAAGTAAAAATATGCTTAGCTTGATATAAAAAATAGTGTTGAACTTGCTTAAAAGGCCTCCTCCTATCCTTCCTAGGTACGCACGATGTTCCACGAGCATAATATGAATTTTCTTTCGTGCGCTTCAAGAGATAAGACAAGGTTATTGTTGAACATTTAGAAATGAATGAATCCGTGGACGTTTGCTCGATAAAGTTCAAATATAAATATCTCATATAGTTTACATAACAATGCGCGAAGTAGGTACTACGCGCATTGTTTTGTGCAAGGTATCATGGTATCGTAGGAAACTTAAAAAAAGTGTCACTTCGCAATTTGTTATCAATGCGCGAACCTCGTCATTTTTTGAAGTTTGTAGAAAAAAGACATTTCACACTACAGTTATTTTTTTGGCGTGCAAGACGCCCTTGATACATAAATAACTATTTCAGAAGATATTATATATGAAAGACTCCACGTGATCTTGGGACACAGTTTCATACTCCATTTAAAATTAATTTGAAATTTGAGAAAAGCTATAAAATCTCACTTTAACGTTTTTTGTTGAGAATGACATTTGCTTCAGTTTAATTTACGTTCAATTTCAGATTCTGCTTCACCAATCAGAAAGCGGCGTTCACAACCAAACTTTTTATGTTTTGCTTTTTTACGTTTCGGATTCTGATTGGTGAAGCAGAATCTGAAATTAAACGTGAATTGAACCTATGCAAATGTCATTCACAACAACAACAAAATCAACATGACTTTTCACGGCTTTTCTCAGTTGCCTTGGTTTTGTCAGTTGTGTTTCATCCTGAAATGAAGTTGAATAATCATAACAATGACATTAATTAGATAGTCAATGATATTCATAGAACTGGCAGTGACGTAAATTGATCCTCATTCAAAACTTGAAGAGAAAAATCATTCATCAAGACAAAAATAATAAATTGAACAGTTCCTATACCTATCTAATATTCTGTGGATTCACGAAAAAATCATTAGCAAAAACATTAGCATAACTTCTATATAGAAGGTTCCATACACGTATTGTTTTATCAAAACTAACAGTAGTAATTTCCATTTAACAATATCATTTTCTATTTTCACTATTTCCACAGACGATGATGGCTCCTTACAACGCAAAAAGCTGAATATTTTCAGCTTTTGCTGCGTCATTTCAATCACAGATTTTGCTTCACCAATCAGAATACGAAACGTAAAGAGCAAAACGTAAAAAGTTTGGTTGTGAACGCCGCTTAAGAAACAAAAAGCAAATCGTAAAAAGTTTGGTTCTGCAGAGCTGGTACATTTGTATAGATTCAGTACTATTTATACCCTTTAGTACATTAGTACATTTCACTCAATTCTGGAACAATTTCATATTTTGGTCAGTACAATCAGCTCAAATTTAGTACAATTGAATATTTATCACACAAAGCTACAAAGATAAACAAAAGTTTGAATCACTGACAGATTATCTGCTTCTTATTATTTCATCAGTTGGCCTAACTGATGGCTATCAACCAACCAGCTGATGGCTGATGACCATATAATGAGAGACATCATGAATTGATAATAACGAATACCATCCAGTGACTTCAATCATGACTATTCATGACATCACACTTCAACTATAGGTACTGTTTTCTGATGTTTTTTTTTTCAAATATTTGGTATACAGGTACATACACTCATCTTTTAAGGATGATGTTGTATATAGAGGGTGTCCCTGAAAGATATGTACAAAATCTCACCTGGGGTCGAAATAATCCGATTTAAAGCAACTTTTATCCCAAACCGAAATTGCTGCTTTCCTGCTTTCCGAGATACACGGTGGGAATGTATTTTGAAAAATTCATTTCTGCACTGCTAATTCGCTGACCAATTAGATCCACGCCGAAGATATATATAACAGCATACATTTTTTATTCAAAATGATTTAAATATTCCGGTGCTGCATCGAACATTAAAAACCAAAATATCTCGAAATCGACTCACTTAGCGGATTATAACGCGAGTGTCTTGTTTGCTTAAAAATGTTCAAAATATTATTTCTTCAACTAATAAAGAGAGAAACTACACCTAGAAAAAAGTTATTTTCATTCTTAAACATGAGAAGCAGTACATTTGGTAACTGCCCTCTAATGAACACAGTGAAAAGGTGCGCCCGTATTCGTATTTTGCATCCAAAAAAACTCCGAATTATCAATTTTTGAAATAATACGTAAAAAAATTTTCATAAACTCTGAGAAATCTGATTTTTTCCTTCAACTTTACCACCCTGTATCTCGGAGACAGAGCAACTTGTAACGGGACAATCAGGTTCCACGTCCTTCCGTTTCGTATCGCAGCCATTATATTCGCTATTTTTGATAGATAATAAATATAAATTCCTTTAGCCGTGTACATTTTGTTGTTGGGTAGGTACTCTGTCTACTAAATAATTGTTCAAAATTGTTTTGCTATTAGTTATAAGCATTTCAGCTATAATCCTAATTCATTTGAGCATCATTGCGCCATCTACCAACGAGCCAATAAACTGCAAGTTCATCCATGTTGGGGAGATGGTAGAAATCTATCAGTTGTTTTTGTTGGTGATATACCCTACGGACAGGGGGCTCTACAGGTATGATTTTTCGATGAATTGTTTTTTGCGCCATTCCACCACACATTTGATTGTGATAAAAACTAGTGTGGGAGATAAAGTTCTTGAACGAGGCCTTTTTGATAGCAAAACCTGAAGGCAGTCACACCTCTCTTCAAACTGACTCTCTAATAAAACTTTATGGTAGAACCTAAGGGTCTATAACAATTGCGAAAACACTTCGTTTTTGTGACCTGGTCAACTTTACAGGTAGGCGAAATTATGTATTTCTATAAATTTTTCCTCAATTTGAAACTTTTCTCCACGTGGTCATGAGCTTTGATTTTTGGTTAAGAATTATAATGATTTTCTCAGACTAGCTATTAACAATCATCGACGTACTCAGAATCAGTTATTTCTCAAATAGTTGCAAATGAAAGCATCAAATATGTCCTTAAAAGCATTTATTTTCACTAGTAATTCAAATTAATATAGTGTATTCTTGTTTCAACAATATTTGTATAAACTATATATATATCATGGTCAACTTTACAGTTTTAGTGAGACAGAGGATCGCCCTGTATAGATGGCTATTTAATAATATGCAATAAAAATTCTGAGTGGCTTGCGTAACCCTGTGTTATTTCTACGGCCTATGGTTACCAACACGGCCAGAACCCCCATAAAAAACCCCTGAGAAAATTGTATCATAGCAAACTTCGGAATGAGGTAAGTTGCTTTCAATCGGCTCATTATCTGACCTCAAGAATATGTGCTGAGATTTTGTACAGACCTTCCATATTTTTTTATTGATTTTTTTTTACATATAATATAGTAATCTGAATATTACGTTTTGTATCTTTTTGACTATGTGCTTGATTGATCATTTTTTCATTATATTATTCAAATTTTTTTACATGTTTTTTATATGTATATGCATGATGTAGTCATTTCTGGTCAATAAAAATATCATCTTTGTTCATCAATTTTCTCATTGATTTATTCAAAATTCCATGTCGGGTACATTTCACCTAATTTTAGTACAATTCAATTACAATTGGTTTTGCTTTTCTGGCAACACTGAATTGAACATAGACATGATAAAGAGGTACAAAAACAAAAATCAGTGGCGCACGACTTATTAATGCAGAGGAGGGCGTACATTTATTTATTTAAATATCATACTAATCATACTATATATCCGCCATAAGAGAATAGAAATGTTAAAATCAAAGTATCTTTGTGAAACAACATATCAAACATTTCAATACAATCTAACCCCTCCTCTAATATGAAATCCAAAGTACCTATACCCACTTATTCCTATTCAATATTAAAACTCAAAAAATAATCATTGGTTAGAATAATAATGTCATATAACTTGAAATTTAAATCAAACTTAAGAAACTTCACTCCTTCACTGGTCTGCTTAATACTGAGAAAGAAATACAAATAGGTACTCTTAACGGTTCTTTGAACACCACCTAAGTATACTTTTTATTGTCATTACCATCTAATAATAATATATGATATATTCGGGATAAAATTCATTGTCAAAGTATTTGACAACCACATTTCCATCACCGGGTTTCACCGAAGTATCCGCTGGTAATGGGGGAATCACCATGAACTCCACACCATTACATCGATAACCTTCCATAACCTTGGCTACCATCATAGTTCTGGGGGCATCTGAACATCGTCTGGGGTAATCGGAAGCATATTGCGAAGATGGGGAAAAGGACACTCCCCTGCCAAATTTGCTGAAACGCATACCATTTGCACCAATCTTTCTCCAATCAAAATTTTGTTTGCAAATCGAATCGACGTTACAACGTTTCGTGCCGTGGTAGAGTTGATATTTTGCCATGGTACCATAAAGTTCCTCTTTTTGTTTGAGTTTGAGTTCGTACTGTACATAGAGGAAGGGATTGCGTACCTCTAGAATCCTGTATACTTGTCTTATGTTTGAATATCGTAAACCACTGAGGAAGTTGCTCTCCAGAATTCTATAATACGTGGAATTTGACTCTAATTCAACTACGGTATACGGCTTATCCATATCCACATCATTCCAACGTTGGTACATGGCAGTTTGCCGAAATAAGTCCCTTACAATTGATGGATCTTTGTTGACCTCGATTGGCACGAATTCCTTTCGTTCTCCTAATGACAAACTGCCAAGACTTGCAAGCACACTGTCCATTGCGATTTTTTCACTCGAAATCAGTCCAAATGCAATATAATTACTCTCCCTGATAATCACCTACTTGAAGTAATGAAACACCAAAAAGACTTGCCAAGTACGATCGAGTATGGACTACCGCAAACATAACAATGCAACTGATGTGCAATATAATGATTGATAAGTTAGTCTCGTTCGCAAGTTAATCATTATCATTAGTGAGATCATTAGATTATTCAATCATTGGGAACATTGAGTGAATCCCAGCAGTCCCAGCACCAAGTGGACCGAGTGAATTCAAATAACCATGACTTTCGATACGCATGGAAATTAGACCAATGAGAACGATTTTAATTATGAACGTCAATTCAAGCCTGTAATTTTTAATCGATTGGTATCGACTGGATCGAATGCCTTGGAGCACGTGGAGATATCAAGTGCCACGACCAAGGTTTCACCATATTTTTCAATAGATTGCTGTGAGACGTAAGCGAGCAGGTCACCAGTTGATCTCTGATGACGGAAGCCATATTGCCTATCGTTGATAATACCTGAATGTTCCAGGTATTTCATGAGCTCGATGTTGATAACTTTCTCCATGATCCTTGAAATAATAGATGGCAGTGCGATCGGTCTGTAGTTAATAGGTAGGGTCTTTTTGCCTTTTTTAGGAACTGGTTGTACTCTTGCAATTTTCCAGTTGGACGGGAATATCCCCAATTTGTAAGAGTAGTTGAACAGGTTGCAGAAAACAGGTGTTAGTTTGGGAGCACATTTCTAAAGAACAATCGATGGAATTCCGTCGGAACCACAAGCTTTGTTGGTGTTGAGACCCAATAAAATCCTCCTTATAGTACGTTGACGAAAGGTGATCTCAGGCATATGACTATCAATTGGCATCTAACCTTATTCGGCCTAAATGAACCTTCTTCCTAAAAAGACAGTAGTTATTTCATTTCGGAAGGAAAATATCTCTCCAGCATAAAAAAATCCACTACTTTTTATACACCATCTGACCTATATTCGCCCTAATAAACCTTCTTCCTGAAAATTATATTATTCGGAAAATCACTTAAGAAAAGAGAATTTAAGAAAAGGCGACCTCGCAGGCATTGAACCCGGGTCGCCGACCTGGGGTTCAAACGCACAGTCAACTACGTCTCGAGCCGTAGTTACTGTGGTAATATGAAGAAATAATTTAGTCGCTGTACCCGCACTTGCCGCGCTGGTTATATTTTTGTTACACCTCGATCCTTGTCTCAAGGCCCTCCCAGGCAACCAGATGACGAATGATCACGTCACTGTGACGTCCCTAATTGGTGATTTTTCGTCAGAGACGTCACACACCAATTTATGACGTCACTATGACGTACTCTCTATGACGTGATAATCACGTCATCGTTTCGACGTCGAGTGAACGTCACTTAGATGGGTAAAATAAGACGTCAGTTTCATATGACGTTGCAGGGACGTTCTGTCGACGTCCATTTTTCCCAGACCTTCTCTAAACCATGGATACTTATACTGGGTGAGTCATTGAAATGGGAAAGTGAGATAACACCTTTGATGTTTGAGATAGATGGACAAAAATTGTTGTGATGATCTAGGCTCATGAGCAGCACATTTCCAAAATATTTCGCTTTATACAGGGTGACTCAAAAATGCATGACGTATCAAAGTTATACTTTTTCTCTTGGGACACCCTGTATTTCATTGCATTTTCGGATTCTCCTTTGTGAGCTGATTTCATCAATGCATCACACTTGGATCTACCAAGAATGATTACAGAGATATAGAGTGTGCAAAATCGAGATATTTCAACTTGAGGATTTTTGTGGGTCGAAACTATTCATTATTGGTCAAAACGGCATACATGTCCCTATCTTAACTTTTGATTTACTATCTACTGATATTTAATTCGAACGATTACAGGGTGGTTCATAATTCTGAATTTTGAACTACCCTGTATTCGTTCAAGTTCAAGAAATATTTTGGAAATGTGCTGCTCATGAGCCTAGATCATCACAACAATTTTTCTTCATCTATCTCAAACATCAAAGGTGTTATCTCACTTTCCCATTTCAATGACTCACCCTGTATATTATTATGTGAAACAGAAGTATAACTCATGAAAGCAAAACAACATGCATTTTTATTCTAATTATTAAAATAACCAAAAAGTATAATAGAAAAACTTTTTTCTGAAAAACTTTGACACACTGTATATCTCGGAAACCAACAAGCTATGTAAATATAATGATGATTGTTTAGATATACCTATATTGAAACCGTTACTCTTATGACGTTGCAGTGACGTATCTATCACGTCTAAAAATCACGTCGGTATGACGTACCAATTTGGTGAGCTTTGTCATTTAGGAAAATTCTTCAATAATTTGCTATTTAGATTTTTGTTGGGTGACAAATAATGCATCAATATACATCATTCAACAAAATGAATCAAAGTTCGCCAACATCCTTTCCATTGCTATCAAACTATTCTTTGTTTGCTTACATCTAGCCTACACAAACTACATAATTTTTGATACAAATACGAGTAACTGATTGCATTCTGATGGAGATGCGTACTGAAGGATGGCGCTGCTGAATAGGCGATTGAATGAACATGACACAGGAGGGACCCTCCAAGCAGACTCAACAATGCATAATCAATATTATATTAATGTCATCAGAGGCTAGTGGTGTTTATCACACCATGTTAAAGGAATCTTTTTTACGTATCATCACCAAATTCAATCGTCATTTTGACGTCATTATGACGTCAGTCGGACTTCGCAGTTTGGTGAGTGAATGACATCAATACGACGTGAGTAATATGACGTCATTGGGCTGTGACTTGTTCACGTCATTATCACGTCAATGCGACGTCAACTACTGACGTCACCTTGGTCATTCAAGTGACGTAAAAAACACGTCACTGCAACGTCATCTGGTTGCCTGGGTACGGAGTTTCTCAGTGATAATGTCAGATTGAATATATACTCATTCCATAGAAAATTTCACGTAGAATCCAGTAGAGTACTCAATTTTTTTTCGCGATATGGTTTTGGAGATACGACACAAACTAATGATTTCTTAAATAGAACACCCTGTATTTTATCAGGTCATTCAATCATCAATTCTTTACTTCAGAAAGATATAAGTGATGTATGAATATAAAATCTTCTGAAATGCTCCAAAATCACTGAAACATTGAATTTCATTAGTGGGCCATGGATTTTTGACATAAAAAAGTTTCGATTGAAGGAGAAGTACTCTTGTTTTTTTCAAGAAGAAGACTAATACAATACTGACACTAATTTACTAACAAGACATAAAACGTAGGTATCTCATAACAACAAATAAATAGTAATAAAAAGTTCATAATATAGAATAGGCACCTGATGAATAAATATTTGCTGAAACAATTGAATTCCGAAGTTATTCAGTATGAGGAATCTAGTATTCGGATTCGAAAGAAAAAGCGATAACTAGCAAAGCTGCACTCCCCACACCATTCTGAAATGTATGGAAAGTATACTCCGCAGACGCTACTCTCCTAGACCTAGTCAGCTACCTTGCGACATTCGTATCCAGCTTAGTGTCCTCTTTCTTGCTCACAATCATGTTGAGGATGATGAGGAAGATACCCAGAGCAGTCACGAATATCCCAGTGATGACCAGCTCGGTCCAATAACCGACGATCGCCTCTCCACCTCACGTTATTGTCAGGCAGCAGCTATTTGAGCCGATGAGGAAGAGACCCAGGACAAAGAAGCAGACTCCCAGATGAAGCAAGCCTATGGAGGAGGCTAAGGCTGGTTCTTTGGTTGGACTCCTCCAAATCACTGTCACTGTTGATAGTCGGCAGGGTTATAACAGTATGTGACGAATGGGTCTGAATAACCTCTTTCATCCCCCTCTCGCTAGCCTCTTGCTGTCTCTCCAAATGTATCCGATGATGTTTGGTTGTCAAGCAACCAGTTTCCGTATCCCTCTCGAGCCTATGTCCGCTCCTAGACCTAGTTAGCTGCCTTGCCACATACGTCTCCAGTTCAGTGTCCTCTTTCTTGCTCACAATCATGTTGAGGATGATGAGGAAGATACCCAGAGCAGTCACGAATATCCCAGTGATGACCAGCTCGTTTCACTAACCGTCGCCTCTCCACGTGACGTAATCGTCAGGCAGCAGACCTGAGCCGATGAGGAAGAGCCCCAGGACGAAGAAGCAGACTCCCAGGTGGAGCAAGCCTATAGAGTAGACTAAGCCTCGTTCTCTGGTTGGACTTATTGGTCATTCTCCCAAGTTTGTAGTGGCTGCAAGGCATAGCCAACTGTCTGGAGTTGTAAGGTTCTTTCAGTTTTCTATCCCCGTTCTGTTCCTCTGATTGCCTTGCTGACATCCACATAATGAACAATATAGAGCAATGACTTTACTGATTCTACTTATATGTTGCAAGTAGATTTTGACATAATTATAAGAACTATTGCAGAATCTGTAGGTTGAAATTCTGAGACTTGTTACTTCAGGACTTGAACCATATACTATTACATGATTGTGAATATGATGATATAATATGCGCTTATACATAGACTGAACAGAACGTAGAAGAAATAATCAAAATACTGTAGAATGTTGAAATTAGTCATTTATTCAACAGCGAATAAACAACGATGTGAAAATTGTAAAACATTGTAAAGACGGTGAAATATCCTCGTAAATAGAATCTGAATATAATAAAAGTGCATGGGAGTAAGTAACCCTTCCACAACATTTAATACAAATTTGGTAGGAGTCGATATCAGTCCAGCGATATGAATTCACAAAGTTAGATAGATTAAAATTGCCACTCATTCAAAGTTAGTAATGTCTTGAATTAAAACTATTCTGCCTGCTGTTGATGAGCAGCTCTCTAGCATCCGGGGTAGTTGCGCTGGAACTAGGAGTAGTCACCTGCTCATTAATCTCTCGATAATTCAACCTCTCCGTCTTCAAATCCTCCTCCATTTCCTTCTCCAAATCACTGTCACTGTTGATAGTCGGCAGGGTTATAACAGTATGCGGCGAATGGGTCTGAATAACCTCTTTCATCCCCCTCTCGCTAGCCTCCCGCTGTCTCTCCAAATGTATCCGATGATGTTTGGTTGTCAAGCAACCAGTTTCCGTATGCCTCTCGAGCCTATGTCCGCTCCTAGACCTAGTTAGCTGCCTTGCCACATACGTCTCCAGTTCCGTGTCCTCTTTCTTGCTCACGATCATGTTGAGGATGATCAGGAAGAGACCCAGAGCAGTCACGAATATCCCAGTGATGACCAGCTCGTTCCAATAACCGTCGCTTCTCCACCTCACTTTATTGTTAGGCAGCAGCTATTTGAGCCGATGAGGAAGAGCAAGAGACCCAGGACGAAGTAGCAGACTCCCAGATGAAGCAAGCCTATGGAAGAGGCTAAGGCTGGTTCTTTGGTTGGACTTGGTCATTTCTTCAAGTTTATAGTGGCTGCAAGGCAAAGCCAGCTGCCTGGAATTGTAAGGTTGTTTCAGTTTGCAATACATAAAATGAATTCTGTTTTAATGAAAGTAAGTCAATATTTAAAAATCAATAAACTCAAACTAAATGTGACCAAAACTAAGGCAATGATCATTACGACAAAATATAACTTCAATAGGTTAAACATGAATGAACTCAATATCAATATAGACAACGAAAGAATAGATATTGTCACTACTTCGAAATATCTAGGTTTTCAACTAGATAACTGTTTATCGTTCAATAGTCATTGTGAATACATTGTAAAGAAGATATCGAAAAAACTCTACTTTTTCTCACGTATTTCGTCATGTCTATCAATGCAGTCAAAAATAACAGTGTATAGGACCATAATACAACCACACTTTGATTACTGTGCATCTGTTCTTTATTTATTCAATTTGAATCAAACTGATCAACTACAAAAACTTCAAAATAGGGGCATGAGAATCATTTTATATTGTAATAAAGTCACTCCTATATCATTCATGTTGGATGCCCTACAATGGATGTCTGTTTCACAGAGATGGCTCTATTTAGCTATGATTTTTATATTCAAAATTGTCAATAACTTAGCACCAATATATTTTCAGGAATTCATTTGCTTCAATTCAGATATTCATGAATACAATACTAGATCTATTAGCAACATTCATCTAAAAAAACAAATAAGAAAAAGTCAATGAATTCACTATTTTATAAAGGATTTAATCAGTTCAATAAATTGCCCAACAAAATAAAAAACTCACAGTCCCTTGTTATATTTAAGAAGAATATAATTGAATATATAAACTCTCTTGAAAGATTCTAATCTATTTATTTATACTTATGTATATTAAAACATTGTTATGCTGGTGTCAATATTATAATATATTAACAATATTATAGTATACGATAAATGATACACATTATTTGGATATATTGTAATTTGATATGTCTTCTCATACAATGATAATTTGACTTCCTATGTTTGTATAAATAACTTAATTTTAAATCATTGCAATATTATGTTAATATTATAATTTTGTAATTGTCGATATAATATTTATGTTTGTATATTAGGGTTTCCTATTTCCAATAAAGATTATTATTATTATTATTCTATCTCCGTCCTGTTCCTCTGATTGCCTTGCTGACATCCACATAATGAACAATATAGAGCATGACTTTACTGATTCTACTTATATGTTGCAAGTAGATTTTTGCATATTTATAAAAAGTATTGCAGAATCTGTAGGTTGAAATTCTGAGACTTGTTACTTCAGGACTTGAACCATATACATGATTGTGAATATGATGATATAATATGCGCTTATACATAGAATGAACAGAACTTGTATTGATGATTCATGTAGAAGAAATAATCAAAATACTGTAGAATGTTGAAATTGGTCATTTATTCAACAGCGAATAAACAACGATGTGAAAATTGTAAAACATTGTAAAGACGGTGAAATATCCTCGTAAATAGAATCTGAATATAATATAAGTGCATGGGAGTAAGTAACCCTTCCACAACATTTAATACAAATTTGGTAGGAGTCGATATCAGTCCAGACATATGAATTCACAAAGTTAGATAGATTAAAATTGCCACTCATTCAAAGTTAGTAATGTCTTGAATTAAAACTATTCTGCCTGCTGTTGATGAGCAGCTCTCTGGCATCCGGGGTAGTAGCGCTGGAACTAGGAGTAGTCACCTGCTCATTGATCTCTCGATAATTCAACCTCTCCGTCTTCAAATCCTCCTCCATTACCTTCTCCAAATCACTGTCACTGTTGATAGTCGGCAGGGTTATAACAGTATGCGGCGAATGGGTCTGAATAACCTCTTTCATCCCCTTCTCGCTAGCCTCCCGCTGTCTCTCCAAATGTATCCGATGATGTTTGGTTGTCAAGCAACCAGTTTCGTTATCCCTCTCGAGCCTATGGCCGCTTCTGGACCTAGTCAGCTGCCTCGCCACATACGTCTCAAGCTCAGTGTCCTCTTTCTTGCACACAATCATGTTGAGGATGATCAGGAAGAGACCCAGAGCAGTCACGAATACCCCAGTGATGACCAGCTCGGTCCAATAACCGTCGCCTCTCCACCTCACGTTATTGTCAGGCAGCAGCTATTTGAGCCGATGAGGAAGAGACCCAGGACAAAGAAGCAGACTCCCAGATGAAGCAAGCCTATGGAGGAGGCTAAGGCTGGTTCTTTGGTTGGACTTGGTCATTTCTTCAAGTTTATAGTGGCTGCAAGGCATAGCCAACTGTCTGGAGTTGTAAGGTTCTTTCAGTTTTCTATCCCCGTTCTGTTCCTCAGATTGCCTTGCTGACATCCACATAATGAACAATATAGAGCAATGACTTTACTGATTCTACTTATATGTTGCAAGTAGATTTTGGCATATTCATAAGAACTATTGCAGAATCTGTAGGTTGAAATTCTGAGACTTGTTACTTCAGGACTTGAACCATTTACATGATTTTGAATATGATGATATAATATGCGCTTATACATAGAATGAACAGAACGTAGAAGAAATAATCAAAATACTGTAGAATGTTGAAATTAGTCATTTATTCAACAGCGAATAAACAACGATGTGAAAATTGTAAAACATTGTAGACGGTGAAATATCCTCGTAAATAGAATCTGAATATAATATAAGTGCATGGGAGTAAGTAACCCTTCCACAACATTTAATACAAATTTGGTAGGAGTCGATATCAGTCCAGCGATATGAATTTCACAAAGTTAGATAGATTAAAATTGCCACTCATTCAAAGTTAGTAATGTCTTGAATTAAAACTATTCTGCCTGCTGTTGATAAGCAGCTCTCTAGCATCCGGGGTAGTAGCGCTGGAACTAGGAGTAGTCACCTGCTCATTAATCTCTCGATAATTCAACCTCTCCGTCTTCAAGTCCTCCTCCATTTCCTTCTCCAAATCACTGTCACTGTTGATAGTCGGCAGGGTTATAACAGTATGCGGCGAATGGGTCTGAATAACCTCTTTCATCCCCCTCTCGCTAGCCTCCCGCTGTCTCTCCAAATGTATCCGATGATGTTTGGTTGTCAAGCAACCAGTTTCCGTATCCCTCTCGAGCCTATGTCCGCTCCTAGACCTAGTTAGCTGCCTTGCCACATACGTCTCCAGTTCCGTGTCCTCTTTCTTGCTCACGATCATGTTGAGGATGATCAGGAAGAGACCCAGAGCAGTCACGAATATCCCAGTGATGACCAGCTCGTTCCAATAACCGTCGCTTCTCCACCTCACTTTATTGTTAGGCAGCAGCTATTTGAGCCGATGAGGAAGAGACCCAGGACGAAGTAGCAGACTCCCAGATGAAGCAAGCCTATGGAAGAGGCTAAGGCTGGTTCTTTGGTTGGACTTGGTCATTTCTTCAAGTTTATAGTGGCTGCAAGGCAAAGCCAGCTGCCTGGAATTGTAAGGTTGTTTAAGTTTTCTATCTCCGTCCTGTTCCTCTGATTGCCTTGCTGACATCCACATAATGAACAATATAGAGCATGACTTTACTGATTCTACTTATATGTTGCAAGTAGATTTTTGCATATTTATAAGAAGTATTGCAGAATCTGTAGGTTGAAATTCTGAGACTTGTTACTTCAGGACTTGAACCATATACATGATTGTGAATATGATGATATAATATGCGCTTATACATAGAATGAACAGAACTCTTGTATTGATGATTCATGTAGAAGAAATAATCAAAATACTGTAGAATGTTGAAATTGGTCATTTATTCAACAGCGAATAAACAACGATGTGAAAATTGTAAAACATTGTAAAGACGGTGAAATATCCTCGTAAATAGAATCTGAATATAATATAAGTGCATGGGAGTAAGTAACCCTTCCACAACATTTAATACAAATTTGGTAGGAGTCGATATCAGTCCAGCGATATGAATTTCACAAAGTTAGATAGATTAAAATTGCCACTCATTCAAAGTTAGTAATGTCTTGAATTAAAACTATTCTGCCTGCTGTTGATGAGCAGCTCTCTGGCATCCGGGGTAGTAGCGCTGGAACTAGGAGTAGTCACCTGCTCATTGATCTCTCGATAATTCAACCTCTCCGTCTTCAAATCCTCCTCCATTTCCTTCTCCAAATCACTGTCACTGTTGATAGTCGGCAGGGTTATAACAGTATGTGGCGAATGGGTCTGAATAACCTCTTTCATCCCCCTCTCGCTAGCCTCTCGCTGTCTCTCCAAATGTATCCGATGATGTTTGGTTGTCAAACAACCAGTTTCCGTATCCCTCTCGAGCCTATGGCCACTTCTAGACCTAGTTAGCTGCCTTGCCACATACGTCTCCAGTTCAGTGTCCTCTTTCTTGCTCACGATCATGTTGAGGATGATCAGGAAGAGACCCAGAGCAGTCACGAATATCCCAGTGATGACCAGCTCGTTCCAATAACCGTCGCCTCTCCACGTGACGTAATCGTCAGGCAGCAGCCCTGAGCCGATGAGGAAGAGCCCCAGGACGAAGAAGCAGACTCCCAGGTGAAGCAAGCCTATGGAGGAGGCGAGGACAGGTTCTTTGGGCGAGTTGAGTCCTTCTATTCGCGGATGGTCCATGCTGTCGGTGCTGTTGGTTCTTGAGCTGAGCCGGCGTTCGGCTGCTCTTTTCTTGGCTTGTCTTCTGAGACGCCGCTGGCGGTTGATGGCCATGGCCGAGTGGAGGCCTGCTGAGCCGTGCATCTGAAATTGAAGGAGAATTTTGTAGTGGCTACCATCAAAACTTCTGTTGAAAGAGCAATGAATAGTTATTTTTCTGTGACGGGATAAAAGTTTGGCATTTCATCTCTGTTGGCAGGTTATAAAATGTCACTTTTCATAAATTACTTTTTTCTCGTTGGAAAAAAGTGAGTTCTTTTTTCCCGGATATATATCACATATATATACACTGATGATGGCTTTTGTTGTGCTATAGTTCCGAAAAATGAGTCAATAATACCGTCTCCGAGAAAGAACTGCAAGTCCTATGATCTTCGCGGTTACGTATATTGCTAAACAACCACTAAATTCGCAATTTTTTGAAATCAAATCACAGAATTAGACTGAGAAGAGTGACATATCAGACATTTGATTACTTCAAAAGAATGAGAAAGATACCTACAACGCAGGTGTCCCTACTGTTAAAAACTTAAAATTTCACGTCGTAATTTTCAGATTTCAAAATAATGTAATATCTTCTCACTTTCTTCTGTCACAGAACAGAATAGTGTATTATACACGGGAAAAATATTAGATTTTAGCTCACGGTTTTTTGTCTCCCCTCGCTACGCGTCGGGAGACAACACAACCTACAACTTTTTTCCCTTGTATAATAAATAACTATTTATACACCAAGGTAGTAAAGAATATCATTATCACCCAGGGACCAAGATTATATCCAGAGGCTTCAGCCGAGGGGTATATGGTCCCGTGGTAATAATATTCTGTCTGCTGACAACTGGGACAACTCTACGCTTCAGGTATATCACCCATTTCGAAGACGCAGGGTATAACATGAAGTTGTAGTCCTGAGGTAGGATACAGAGATATCGCGACATACATTGTATGGCGCTGCCATCTATAGTCACACGTACAGACCCCTACGTCTATACGCTACAGAGTGGTACTACAAGTAAATCACTCTGCTGCAGATGGCACTACCTGACATACTTGAGTGTCAGCAGACCGAGAGTGGCTGATGAGACCTGGTGGGTAGAAACAGTACTGTCTCGCTCCTGCTGACAATTGGGGCAACTCTGTTCATCCTAGATCTGTTAGTTATGAGAATTAGCAGTTGAATAGGTGGTGGAAAAATTCCACTCAAGTATGTCAGGTAGTGCCATCTGTCAGCAGAGTGATTTACTTGTAGTACCACTCTGTAGCGTATAGACGTAGGGGTCTGTACGTGTGACTATAGATGGCAGCGCCATACAGTGTATGTCGCGATATCTCTGTATCCTACCTCAGAGCTTTGCCACAAGATGGCTACAACATGACTACAACTTCATGTTATACCCTGGGTGATTTGTCCGAGGAGAAAAAATCCCAAAAAATCTGGAATAATGAATGTACCATCTCCTCGATCGATTAACCTACAGACAGTGTTGTGTGTTATAATTTGGGCGTCAAGAAGGTCATGCCAAATACAATGACAGATTTACATTCCTTGTGAAAAAGTGCCTCAAGAATGGCCCAGTCGGACGTCTATAGGTTTTTTAGTTTCCACTTGAAAAATTAAGAACGAAAATTATGAATTTTCGTTTCCTTTCAATGATTCAAAAACTAAAAATGACACATCAAATTTTCTTGCAGATAAATGTTTAGCATGAAAATGCGCAACTTTGCCCTCATTTAAGCTACGGCACTTTTCGCAGAACAACAGTTCTTAAAATGAAAATAATGCATGTATAGTTATTTAACCAACTAGTGTATTAATGAGGGCGATTAATGATCGAAATATTTTAACGTGCGAGCGAAGCGAGCGCGTTAATGTTCGAGATCATTAATCGCCTTTTAATATACAAGTTATATACATCATTCATCCGGAAACTGCTAAGAATCACCCAGTAGCCTTATTACTGACATTAGTGACATTTGACATTTGTCGAAATGATCAACATAGAAAATAAATTCCTTGTGTTAGAAAACAGGGATTAAAATCGTGTCAGAAACTTGGAAAGGCGAACCCGTTAATGGAAAATCTTCGATGAAATCCATATTTTCGATTTAAATGCAAATTCCGTAAGTTATAGCATAAACAATGAATGCACGCGGTGTATGTTTGGTTGCCTATAAAACAATGGTGCATTAATAGACAAATCGTTCATTAATAGGGGTCATTAATGAACGATTTCATATACATTAAACTTAGTCGTTAATACGAGGTCGACGGAAAACAATATTATACGACAATATAGACACTTTTTTATCGCATATGGTGCGCACGAACGGAAATTGATGGATATATAGTATGTATACAGGGTGGGCCACCAGTAACGCCTCGGTCTCTAGAAGGCTAACCACTAATCTTCTTGGAATTCTTCCTCTCTAGGAAGTTGCATGTTGAACTTTTTTCAATCGAACACCCTATATATAATGTCATTTTGAGATTCTCCCTGATGAGCTGATTTCAACGACCCATCATACTTGGGGTCTAGCAGTTATAATTACTGAAATAAATAAATGGAGTGAAAAACCGAGATTTTCCAAGTTCAAGAATTTTTTGTGTCGAAACTATTCATAATTGGTCAAAACGGCTTACATGTCCCTATATCTCAACTTTTGATTAACTATCTACTGACATTTAATCGAAACAAATACAAGAGTGATCAGAATGCTGAATCTTGAACCACCCTGTATTTGTTCCAATTAAATGTCAGTAGATAGTAAATCAAAAGTTGGGATAGGGACATGAAAGCCGTTTTGACCAATAATGAATAGTTTCGACGCAAAAAAAATCCTGAAGTTGAAAAATCTCGATTTTGAACACTCTATATCTCTGTAATCATCCGCTAGACCCCAAGTGTGATGCATTGATGAAATCAGCTCACAAAGGAGAATGCGAAAATGCAATGAAATACAGGGTGTCCCATAAGAAAAAGTATAACTTTGATACGCCAAGCATTTCTGAGTCACCCTGTATAAAGCGAAGTAATTTGGAAATGTGCTGCTCATGATCCTAGATCATCTCTGGAACTTTATTTGCCTATCTATCTCTAACTGTAAAGCCGTTATGTCACTTTGCCACACTAATGACTCACCCTGTATATGATTGTAAATAAAATGCATGGTCAAATTCAAACAATTTTGAATGAAAAAGCGCGGAACGACTATGATGCTGTTGTCACAATGCGAGATGTGTAACCTAATAAATCTAAACAATCAATAACATTATAACACTATCAGTTGGCATTTCTGTGTCTAACTAATACCATCCCAGTGACTCTAGTTTCAAGTAGCGTACAGAGAAATAGCAGGATTTCAGAGAAGTATTTATTTTATTTGACATATTGTATGTTGAGTGCTCTGTGTAATGTGATACGATAGTATAGGCACTCAGGAAATAAATGGCAATTCGCATTGAAAGAAACATCGTACACATGATATCGAATTTCCAATGGAGAATTATTCGTCTGGACAGAACCAATGGCGCAAACACTGTGAACAGATAATATCCGGTGGCATCTGTCCAGGGTGCAATCAATTCGTGATCCTTTCACTTAAATCCTAAACGCTAGTGATTTATGAAGCTCTTGGGATTACTTCTGAAGACATGAACTGATGGTTGCTTTGTGGAAATTTGTTGCGAAATGATAAGCTGAATTAGGTGATTTCGATTTGGTAAAACTGCACTCATCATGCAATGTTTTTTTTTTCGAAAATTATGTTTGAAACGTACGTATTTTCGTATGAAAGACACGAATTTCACAACAAACCGCTATTCATCGAGATATTTTATGAAAAAGTGCGAAATTTCACCTTGCTTTGCAACCCATCTAGGATATTCATTTACAACTACTTGTCCTTTTTCTTCCATCACTGGACCCTTCACATACTCACGTTGCACTTCAATATAGTTATTATTTATTATACAAAGGAAAAAAGTAGTATAGATTTTAGCTCCAGGTTGTGTTCTAATATTTTCCCGTGTTATAATAAACTACTTTTTTCTGTGACAAAAGAAAGGACGAATCAATATTGAGAAGATATTACATTATTTTGAAATCTGAAAATTATCGACGTGTAATTTCAAGTTTTTAACACTAGGGACACCTGCGTTGTAGGCATCTTTATCATTCTTTTGAAGTAATCAAATATCTGATGTCACTTCTGTCAGTCTAATTCTGTGATTTGATTTCAAAAAATTGCGAATTTAGTGGTTGTTTAGTAATATACGTAACCGCGAAGTCGAATGGAAGATAAAAAGACTTGCAGTTCTTTCTCGGAGATGGTATTATTGACTCATTTTTCGGAACTGTTGCACAACAAAAGCCATAAACAGTGTATATATATATGATATATATCCAGGAAGAAAGTTCTCTCTAATTTATGAAAAGTGACATTTTATAACCTGCTAACAGAGATGAAATGCCAAACTTTTTTCCCGTCACAGAAAAAACACATTTTATTTCCTAAAATCAACAAGAAGTATGGTTTATTTGGATTTTTTTCATATTTAGTGAGGTAGACAATAGTTTGGTTCCTCGAGTTTCTTGCAAATTTTCTTGACAGTACAGCCTGGCTCAAATTCTCTAATAAAAAAGATGATGCAGGTCGTCAAACTGAGGCCTTCACCATCACTCATGGCCTAAAACTAGTCGAACTACCAACCCGTATTCCAGATGTCAACAACCAGTCTGCCAATACACTAGATCTTTTTCTCACCAGCAATCCTGATCCATATAGAATAGAAGTTTGTGCCCCACTTGGAAACTCTGACCACACCCTCATCTCCACAACCTGCTCTTTCCATGCACCATCCAGCACCAGAATTCCTACCCGTCTCATGTGGCATTACAATTTGGCCGACTGGGAAAGTCTTCGTATGTTTTTTTTCAGCGTTTCCATGGAAAAGAGTTTGTTTCTCCTCAGCAGATCCAACACGATGTGCTGAGGCAATTTCTGAAATCATCATGTTGGGGATGCAAACCTACATACCGAACACTGCAAGGAGAACATCTTCCGATAAGGCCTGGTTCAGTTGAAGCTGCTCTAGAGCTGTCGCTTCCAAACAGGAAGCATTCCATCGATGGTAGAAAAATCCAGGCCCTGAGACTAGAGCAGAAAATGTCGAGGCTAGAGGCATATGCAATGGAACAATTCGATCATCAGAAGATGATCATAAAGCCAAAATAAGATCAAGACTTGTTGAATGTCCTAACACATCCCGTTCATTTTGGTCCTTCGCCAAAGCTGTAGGAAGAAACTTCACTTCCAGCTCGTTTCCTCCTCTAACCAAGGAAGATGGAATACTAGCCACAACTGCCCAGGAGAAAGTCAACATTTTTGCGCATTTATTTGCTGGAAACCCCACTCTGGATTCATCAGGAAAACAACCTCCGAACATAACGCCAATTGACATTCATATGCCCGAGATCACCTTTCGCCAACGTACTATAAGGAAGATTTTATTGGGTCTCAACACCAACAAAGCTTGTGGCTCCGACGGAATCCCATCGATTGTTCTCAAGAAATGTGCTCCCAAATTAACACCTGTTCTCTGCAAGCTGTTCAACTACTCTTACAAATTGGGGATATTCCTGTCATACTGGAGGATTGCAAGAGTATAACCAGATCCTATAAAAGGCAAAAATACCCTACCTAGCCACTACAGACCGATCGCACTGCTATCTATATTTCAGAGATCATGGAGGAAGATATCAACATCGAGCTCATGTAATACCTGGAACATTCAGGTATTATCAACGATAGACAATATGGCTTCCGTTATCAGAGATCAACTGGTAACCTGCTCGCTTACGTCTCACATATATGGCAGCAATCTATTGAAAAATATGGTGACACCTTAGCCGTGGCACTTGATATCTTCAAGGCATTCGATCGAGTCTGGCACCACGGACTCCTCGCCAAGCTTCCATCATATGGCTTGCCTTCCTAGCTATGTTCTATGCTAGCTACTTTTCTCTCAAACAGGTCTCTCCATGTTTGTAGCACCAACACTATTTCTACTCCATATCAACGATTTGTTTGAAGCAACTTCATGTCCAGTTCACAGCTTCGCGGATGATAAAACCCTCCATACCGCCTTCTCTTCCACGGCTGCAATACCAGCCAAACAAATCAGAAACGAACGAGGGAGAGATGTTGACAACATAAATATGGACTTGTCAACAAATCTCGAATGGGGATCCAATAGCTTGGTAGATTTCAATGCAAACACAACACAAGCATGCCTTTTCTCTAGAGGAGCCGATCTCACTGTGCCCAACATATTTTAAGCTTGTCAAGAGTAAACATACCATTTGATGCTTGGTATTACCATCAACAATAACCATTCTTGGGAAAATCACGTTAGATCAATTGCTAAAAGTGCATCCCAAAAACTTGGTTTTCTGTTTCGGGCCAGGAGCCATTCCACTTCCAGTCAGTTGCTTATGATCTATGAGGCACATATTCGACCTATCCTGGAATACTGTTCCCATATTTGGAGTGTAGTACCCAAACATACCCTGAAACTGTTGGATTCTGTCCAAAAAAGGGCAATTCGTCTCGTGGGTGATGCCTCGCTCACAAACTCACTCACTTCTCTGGAACACCGTAAAAAAGTTGGCGATCTGGCTCTTTTTTATAGATATTTTCAGGGACGATGCTCTCCTGAAATATCAACAACTCTTCCTCCCTTGACAGTCCTCGCGAGATTAACCAGGCGAGTTGAGGCTTCGCACCCCTTCGTGGCCACTTTGAAGACCTGCAGAATATCTCTTTCCAAAGACTCGTTCATTCAACGAACAGCGAGGCTCTGGAACACATTTTCAAGGGAGGTGTTCGCCGAAGCATACCTATAACCTCCAGAAATTTTAGAACACCAATTCCTACCTTATTTCCCTTGGCTCTCACGATGTTCTCTGAACATTACAGGATATCTCTTTTCGTGGGAACCAGAACATGAAAAAAATGGACTGATTTTTACATGAAGTGTGGTCGACTGACTTTCGAGTATTTATTTTCATTAAGAATAGGACTGAGTTTGGCATGGAAGAAAAAGGGAATTGGATTGGGTTGAACGAAAAGGATCTTTGAAACCATGGGTCGTATATGGTAGAATCAATAACTGCATATTCGATGTGAAATATAATGGACCAAGTGTCATGGACACTTCGGACAGACGAGCCTTGGAAGGAAGTATAGTATTTAGTGGCTATCTTGTAGGGAATGGCCTTTCGTGGTGTCCATGAAGAATTTCGACCACCTCCGAAAAAACAAACAAAGAAAACCATTGAAGAAGAAACTGAATTGACCCACACGTGACCAGCCAACCTCTTTGTTGAGCGATATTCAGTATTATACAGGGTGGGGCATTACTGAGTCGGAGCTCGATTGCCCGAGTTCTATGATAGCTAGAAACTTGATTCAAAAACGAATGTGAATGAGACAACAACTAGAAACCATTGCCGCATATACAGGGGGTACCGGAAAGAATCTAGAGGGTCAGGATCACTTTTTTTTAATGGAATGCCCTGTATATTATTACATTTTTTGAAGCATCTCTGTAACCATCAACAACTCCTATAATATTGTTGACTATATCTCGATCATTTCAAAGTTATTAATTCTTATGTCGAAATAATCTGATGCAGATGCATATATACCGAAATAATCACTGTAGTCACAATTATGAAATTCAAGAGAGAATAATCATAATATCATTTGATGGGAAGATGCGTGATATTTTTGTAGAATTTTCATGCCCTCAAATTATACAGGGTGGCTAAAAATTATTTTTCAATTCAGAACTTTTGGAAGTGATTTTTCTCGTGTTTTTCGAATGGAACACCTTATATATTTTGAGGCCATTTGTTGTAAAATTGAAACACGACCATCTTCTATCTCAACATCTATATTGATATACGTAACCATTTTTGAGTTATTGAACTTCGAAAATTATAGGTTGGCCATTTTCATCGATACACATTCTCATCTGTTATTAAAAAACATCAAAAGTACAATTAATAATTTATTGAACTTGTTTTTTCATTGAGAGAATTGATACCAGCATCAAAGCAAACAGAAATAGTTCATATATGCTAGTTATTCACAGAGTGAAAAAAAAATCCCATTTTGCATAATTGTGGCTTATCATCCTGGTTTTGTTTTTGATGTGCTATGAATTCATGGGATATTTTGTAAATTGGTTTATTTTCTTTTTTTACTTTGTAAATTACAAGCATATCAACTATATCTGATATTTGCTTTCATTTGGGTTTCATTTCTTTCAATAAAGAAACAAGTTTACTAAATCATCAATTGGACTTTTATGAGAATGTGTATTGATGAAAATGGCCAACCTGTAGTTTTCGAAGTTCAATAATTTAAAAATGGTTACGAATATCAAATCGATGTTGAGATAAAAGATTTTCGGGCTTCGATTTTATACCAAATGGCCTAAAAATATATGGGGTGTTCGATTTGGAAAACTCGAGAAAAATTACTTCAACCATTTTCAGTCACCCTGTATAATTTGAGGGCATGAAAATTCTACAGTAATATCACACATGTTTTCATCAAAAGATAATATGATTATTCTCTCTTAAATTCCATAATCATATCTACGTTGATTTTTTCGGTATGCATCTGCAGATGACATTATATCGACAAAAAAATTAATAACTTTGAAATTATCGAGAAATATTCGACAATATTATAAAAGTGGATGGAGGTCACAGGGATGCTTAAAAAAATGTGCACATATAGGGCATTCCATTTAAAAAGGATCCTGACCCTCTAGATTTTTTCCGGTGCCCCCTGTATATGCGGCAATAATTTTTAGTTATGGACCTTGTCTCCTTCAC